AACAGGGGGTACTAATCGAAGCTTGAACGGCCATTGCGTCACTCACAGTGACACTGTCGTCTTTAGCGATAGGAACAGACACGGCAAATAGCACAGAGCCTCTCTTCGTCATTTTCCGTGTCTCCTCTGCGTCCAAAAACGCGTCGTAGCGGCGCTCCTTAGCCTCCGAAGACGGAGCCACTGCAGCCGCTACCGTAACTGTAGACATAGGCGTAATCGACTCATGCGTCCGGAGGTGCGCGTCAATCTTCCTTTTGCAAATAGGATTCGCCCGGCGACCGTCAGCTCTGAGGCGCTCCTCCTCACTGCTAAGTAGCAGCTTCCGACATACTTTGCAAAACATGTTGATGGAATATTTCTGCCCCAGGTTGTGGACCCTATCTGGAGCAGCGGTTTTGCACACCAGCCGCAGCGCTCGCGTTTGGAGGCAGTTTGGCGTTGTGGGCTATACAGCCTACTTCCAAATGCTTTAGAATGAGCCAACTCCCATAAAGAACCAATCCTTCGGCGGGTGTGGGCCTTAGTAGCGGTGGAGGAGGCGTCCGGCATCGTGGAAAAATGGCAATTGACTGTTTTTCCTCGGTATTTTCGGTATTTCTGCAGCAGCTCTGGACAAAGCGCTGTGTTCGCGCCAGATTGCAGTCGCTGGAGACAAATCACCGGTCACTATCGTTTTAAAGAAAGATAACTTTTTTTTGCTGGGGCTGCAAAATTATATTGATTCTTTTAGTTTAAGTTTGATGCCCCCTGTTTCTGTTTTCCTTCAAGAGTCTCGCTCAAGACACTACACCAGTTCAATTTGAAACATGTACTACACTTGTGCGTTTTTCTTGTTCTTCATCTTGCGTTTTCTTTTCCTCTTCTTAGACTGCGTCTTGCTAGCTTCGGACAGTAAGGCCGAACAGGGGGTACTAATCGAAGCTTGAACGGCCATTGCGTCACTCACAGTGACACTGTCGTCTTTAGCGATAGGAACAGACACGGCAAATAGCACAGAGCCTCTCTTCGTCATTTTCCGTGTCTCCTCTGCGTCCAAAAACGCGTCGTAGCGGCGCTCCTTAGCCTCCGAAGACGGAGCCGCTGCATCCGTTACCGTAGCTGTAGACATAGGCGTAATCGACTCATGCGTCCGGAGGTGCGCGTCAATCTTCCTTTTGCAAATAGGATTCGCCCGGCGACCGTCAGCTCTGAGGCGCTCCTCCTCACTGCTAAGTAGCAGCTTCCGACATACTTTGCAAAACATGTTGATGGAATATTTCTGCCCCAGGTTGTGGACCCTATCTGGAGCAGCGGTTTTGCACACCAGCCGCAGCGTTCGCGTTTGGAGGCAATTTGGCGTTGTGGGCTATACAGCCTACTTCCAAATGCTTTGGAATGAGCCAACTCCCATAAAGAACCAATCCTTCGGCGGGTGTAGGCCTTAGTAGCGGTGGAGGAGGCGTCCGACATCGTGGAAAAACGCCAATTGACTGTTTTTCCTCGGTATTTTCGGTATTTCTGCAGCAGCTCTGGACAAAGCGCTGTGTTCGCGCCAGATTGCAGTCACTGGAGACAAATCACCGGTCACTACCTTTTTAAAGAAAGATAAGATTTTTTTGCTGGGGCTGCAAAATTATATTGATTTTTTTAGTTTAAGTTTGATGCCCCCTGTTTCTGTTTTCCTTCAAGAGTCTCGCTCAAGACACTACACCAGTTCAATTTGAAACATGTACTACACTGTGCGTTTTTTTCTTTTTCTTTCTTGTGTTTTCTCTTCCTCTTCTTAGACTGCGTCTTGGTAGCTTCGGACAGTAAGGCCGAACAGGGGGATTGAAGCTTGAACGGCCATTGCGTCACTCACCGTGACACTGTCGTCTTTAGCGATAGGAACGGACACGGCAAATAGCACAGAGCCTCTCTTCGTCATTTTCCGTGTCTCCTCTGCGTCTAAAAACGCGTCGTAGCGGCGCTCCTTAGCTTCCGAAGACGGAGCCACTGCAGCCGTTGCCGTAACTGTAGACATAGGCGTAACCGACTCATGCGTCCGGAGGTGCGCGTCAATCTTCCTTTTGCAAATAGGATTCGCCCGGCGACCGTCAGCTCTGAGGCGCTCCTCCTCACTGCTAAGTCGCAGCTTCCGACATACTTTGCAAAGCATGTTGATGGAATCTTGCTGCCCCAGGTTGTGGACTCTAGCTGGAACAGCGGGTTTGCTCACCAGCCGCAGCGTTCGCGTTTGGAGGCAGTTTGGCGTTGTGGGCTATACAGCCTCATTCCAAATGCTTTGGAATGAGCCAACTCCCATAAAGAACCAATCCTTCGGCGGGTGTGGGCCTTAGTAGCGGTGGAGGAGGCGTCCGGCATCGTGGAAAAACGGCAATTGACTGTTTTTCCTCGGTATTTTCGATATTTCTGCAGCAGCGCTGGACAAAGCGCTGTGTTCGCGCCAGATTGCAGTCGCTGGAGACAAATCACCGGTCACTATCTTTTTAAAGAAAGATAAGATTTTTATGCTGGGCCTGCAAAATTATATTGATTTTTTTTTTTTTTAAAATTGTGACC